GACGAAGGCAATAAATGCCTTTGGAACAAACCCACAAATCTCTGATGATCAAGTAAAACCTGACCATCAGTTTCCTTCATCTGGTCAAGCTTCCTCTTCATGTTTGTAGCATAGTCATGTGCGAGCCGGTGCAACTGTTTATTCTCATGCTTGAGCCCTCTAATCTCCTGTTTGAGACTCATCACTTCAGCCGCCAATGATTCAACTTGGCGGGTTCGAGCAAATAGGCGTTGGGCCATATTAGACACAGAACCTGCACACTGAACACTGAGAGCCAGCGAATCCTTAACAGCTAACTCATCAGACCGTTTGGAAAGTAGTCTGTTATCTTTGGGAGTGAGAAGGTTCCTGGCCACCACCGCAGCGGTCATATCATTCTTCATCACGGAATCCCCAACGGTAAGAGGACCAGTAGGGGGAGACGAAGGATGGGCGCCATATGTTGTCTGGAGAAGGCGGGGCTGCCTCTTCAACAAGGTTCAAGTCAAAACGACGGTCGGAGGGGCCAGACATTTTCAAAGGTGTTGAAGAGAGAAGAGGTCGGACAAAATCAAGATCTTAGAAGTGCAAGAATGAAGCTTCTACTGGTGGAGATTCAAGTGTGCTTTGGAACTTAATGCCAGCCCCTATAAAAAATCTGCACTCGACGGAGCTTCAGAAATCGAAGAAATCGAAGAGGCGTTTGCTTTCTCAAAAGCTGGGCTGCTTAGAGATCACGAGGGTTGATCTCAGAAATCGAAGAGGCGTTTGCTTTCTCAAAAGTTGGGCTGCTCAAAGACCACGAAGGCCGATCTCAGAAATCGAAGAGGCGCTCGCTTTCTCAAAAGCTGGGCTCCCCAGAGACCACGAGGGCCGATCTCAGAAATCGAAGAGGCACCTACTTTTCCAGCCTTGTCAGCACCTGTCACACGCGCACACTCAGCTTTGCGGAAATTATGGGCATTCTGTCGAAGACTTCTGGGGAAGTAGAAAACACATGAATCTTACTGTTCAATCACCCACTTCCCACACGCAACAATAGCTCATGGGTACCACAGATAACTTTGCCAAAGTTCTCTGCCAAAGTTGAGCACGTGAAGCTTGCAGCTCCCACTACATCGCTCTGACCAAGAAGGGTAAAAAAGAATAGCAAAGAAACAGCACTAACAAAGTTTAGACCCATAAATTTTGAAGGTCTAGCTACCATATTATTACCCACAAGGGTAAAGGAACAGTACCACTGCTGGATAATTGGAAAGTCCCTGTGTGTCAACCTCTGTGCTTCGTGGCAAGGTAGACTAGCAAACATGCCCAACCTTTACTCACATTCGAGAAAACACTCCCAATAAGATTGCTTGCTCCAAAATCGAAGAGGCACCGTCCTCCGAATCTCGAGAGCCAGACTCCCAACATGACTACTTTATTAAAAATCGAAGAGAGGGTAAAGGAACAGTACCATTGCTGGATAATTGGAAAGTCCTGTGTGTGTCAACCTCTGTGCTTCGTGGCAAGGTAGACTAGCAAACATGCCCAACCTTTACTCACATTCGAGAAAACACTCCCAACAAGATTGCTTGCTCCAAAATCGAAGAGGCACCGCCCTTCCGAATCTCGAGAGCCAGACTCCCAACATGATTACTTTCTCAAAAATCGAAGAGACACTGCTCCCCGAATCTTCGAGAGCCAAACCCCCAGCATGATTGTTTTCTCAAAAATCGATGAGGCATCGTTCTCCGAATCAATCGAAGAGGCGCTCGCTTTCTCAAAAGCTGGGCTGCTCAGAGACCACGAGGGCCGATCTCAGAAATCGAAGAGGCACCTACTTTTCTAGCCTTGTCAGCACCTGTCACACGCACACTCAGCTTTGCAGAAATTATGGGCATTCTGTCGAAGATTTCTGGTGAAGTAGAAAGCACATGAATCTTACTGTTCAATTACCCACTTCCCACACGCAACAATAGCTCATGGGTACCACAGATAACTTTGCCAAAGTTCTCTGCCAAAGTTGAGCACGTGAAGCTTGCAGCTCCCACTACATCGCTCTGACCAAGAAAGGTAAAAGAATAGCAAAGAAACAGCACTAACAAAGTTTAGACACATAAATTTTGAAGGTCTAGCTACCATATTATTACCCACAAGGGTAAAGGAACAGTACCACTGCTGGATAATTGGAAAGTCCCTGTGTGTCAACCTCTGTGCTTCGTGGCAAGGTAGACTAGCAAACATGCCCAACCTTTACTCACATTCGAGAAAACACTCCCAACAAGATTGCTTGCTCCAAAATCGAAGAGGCACCGTCCTCCGAATCTCGAGAGCCAGACTCCCAACATGACTACTTTCTCAAAATCGAAGAGAGGTAAAGGAACAGTACCATTGCTGGATAATTGGAAAGTCCCTGTGTGTCAACCTTTGTGCTTCGTGGCAAGGTAGACTAGCAAACATGCCCAACCTTTACTCACATTCGAGACACAACACTCCCAACAAGATTGCTTGCTCCAAAATCGAAGAGGCACCGCCCTCCGAATCTCGAGAGCCAGACTCCCAACATGATTACTTCCTCAAAAATCGAAGAGACACTGCTCTCCGAATCTCGAGAGCCAGACCCCCAGCATGATTGCTTTCTCAAAAAATCGAAGAGGCATCGTTCTCCGAATCTCGAGAGCCAGATACCACAGACCACTTTTTCAAAGTGCTCTGACAGAGTTAAAACATGTGAAACTGGCAGCTCCCACTACCGTGCTATGACCAAGCAGGGTAAAGGAATAGCATTACTACTTGTTGTTAGGGAGACTCCTATATATGTCGACCTCCATCCCCAACGGACAGGCAGACCTGCAAAAATGCTCAACCCTTCATCATATCTGAGAGGGCACTCCCAACGAAGCCTTTCGAAATATTCAGCTTTCTTTCCCCCCGATAATACCTCTGCAAACAAGCTATACTAGAGCAAGAATATCTCATATCATCAGGGTTAAAAGCAAGAGTATCCCATATCATGCTTTTTCCCTGTCTTTTCCTTTGGACCTTGTTTTTACCTGCAAGACAAGGAGAAAGAGAGCAATCAGTCAGCACTTGGAATCAAGCTTCCAGCCAGGAACTGACTGCCTGGAACCCCTTACCTGATTACTTACCTGGCATTGCTCTCGAGTACTCATCTTCAACATCTTATGTTTCCAGGGAAAGATTTCCGCATCTGCTTGAGGAACAGATAGGGCAAGTGCGAAGGATACAAGGAAGCATGTGGAGACAAGCGTAACAGCACACGTGCCGATACATCCATTACTCTGTCAAAAGCAAAAGTATCCCATATCAGCAGGGTGGAACGTACTCTAGATTTGATGGACTTGTTTTGACCCTCAAATTCTTCAGTCGGCCTTATACTCTGGAGGAAACCAGAAAACCCTCCAGCTCAGTTCAAGAATAAGCCTGTGGAAAGTTACTTCTTCAAAAGCAAAAGTATCTCATATATCATCTCTTCTCATTTTTCTTCTCTTTATCCTTCATGCTGTTGCAAGATGGGGAGAAGGTGAACAATCAGTCGGAGCTCTGATTGCTTACCTTGTCTGTCACCTCTTTCAGCAGACCCCCTAGCTCGGCGACTTGGGGGACTCCTACTACTACATGGTTTGTATCGCGCTTGACCAAGCCTGAAACTACAAGTAAGCTTCAAGTGAAATTGATACATTACCTTGTGCATCTCCACCAGTTAAAGATACCACCCCTGGATGGAGGAAAAGTACTTCCAGAGAATATGCCACATCTACCTATGAGACAGATAAGGCAAGTCAAGACGACACCACACTCCGATACTTAGAAGTTTCGTGATTACGAGATTATTCTCCCACAATATTTCCTAATGTCATTTGTACTAAATCATTCACTTGTACTCACTAAAGGAGAGCTTGAACCTATGTACTTGTGTAAACCCTTCACAATTAATGAGAACTCTTCTATTCCATGGACGTAGCCAATCTGGGTGAATCACGTACATCTTGTGTTTGCTTTCCTATCTCTATCCATTTATATACTTATCCACACTAATGACCGGAGCAATCTAGCGAAGATCACAAAAAGCGACCGTTTTCGCTACCTAGGATCTATCTTGCAAGAGAACGGAGAATTAGATGGAAATCTCAACCATAGAATACGAGCTGGATGGATGAAGTGTAAGAGCGCATCCGGCGTGTTGTGTGACCGTCGTAGGCCACTGAAGCTCAAGGGAAAATTTTATAGGATGGCAATAAGGCCAGCGATGTTGTATGGCACAGAATGTTGGGCGGTGAAGCATCAACACGTACACAAAAATGAGTGTAGCGGAGATGAGGATGCTTCGTGGGATGTGTGGGCACACGAGAAAGGATAAGATTGGGAATGAGGATATCCGAGGTAAAGTAGGAGTAACCGAAATTGTAGGAAAGATGAGAGAAAATCGGCTCCGGTGATTTGGACATGTGCAAAGAAGGCCGACTGACGCTCCGGTTCGAAGATGTGACTACGGGACAGAGGTTCAGGGCCGAAGGGGTAGAGGAAGACCTAGGAAAACTTTGGAAGAGACTCTAAGAAAAGACTTAGAGTACTTGGATCTAACGGATGACATGACACAAAACCGAGCGCAATGGCGTTCTAGGATTCATATAGCCGACCCCACTTAGTGGGAAAAGGCTTTGTTGTTGTTGTTGTTGTTGTAGAATAGGTCATGAATTCGATTATATTTTGGCCTCAGCTCATAATGACCCGAAATCACAAGGATTTTGTACATGAGATTAGATTTGATATTATCGGTATCTCACGGAGTTTAAATCTGATCGATAATTTAAAATCTTAGAGATAATTATTTTGATTTTCGTAAGTATTATTATCTCAACCGTGCATTCTTCAACCATATCATACGTAGGTATACAAAATCCCATATAGAAGTGTGCTTGAGATTAACTTGAAGAATTAGATTTTGATGCCATTTGAGAAACTAAATTGTATTTCAAAGGAGATAAAAAGGGAAGAACAATATGCAGATACATATTTTAATGCTTGCTGGGAAACAACTCGCAAATCTCCTCAACTGTCTTGACCTTAATCAAATCTGCAAGCTTTTGAAACATAAGATCCTGCAATTCCTTCACGGATAAAAAATTTGCAGTGCATAAGAGATCAATGACAACGTTGGCTTGGTCCAGTTCCTCGACAAACTCAGCCTCCCACTCTTCGATTAGTTGTGTGTTGGACGTGCTTTTTGTAGTACCCTGATGAGAAGCATTGTTGTGCTTTATCTTCCACCACTCTATCACCATGACTAGGGTTTTGGAGTTGACCTCTGGCAATGGTATCAAATGGTTGACACCGATCACGTCGACTAGGGATTTTATGGGTTCCGACAGCGCTGCCATAGCTTCTTCTACTTCGAATATTTCGTTGTTTGAGCTCCTCAGTTTCACAACCCTACTCTTTGGCACCGACAACATGGCGATTGGTCGTTGAAGTATAACTGAAGAGAGGAGAAACTATTGTGTTACGAAATAGTTATCAAACTCTGGTATTGTGTGTATCTAGTTATTAAAGAAATAAGTAAATAGAAGGCACTCGAGCAATTGTTGCTCATATTGTATTAAATTGAATTTCATAAGATTTCCTACCTAGATTTAGAATTCCATTTTCTTTGAAAAGAAAAGTTTTGGAATTCGATTGGATTTAGGATTTCCTATTGAGATTTGGATTCCATTTTTAAAATTTTTTTTGCATGTGTTTGAATATCCTAGTGAATAGGGTGTAAAACTTAGAAAACAATTTTTCACGGAAAAAAAAAATCTAAAATCATACATTTATGTAAATATGATAAGTAAAAAACTTAACAATATATCACAACAATTCCCACCGCATATAACAATTACACTTCTTAACAATATATACTAATTAAGTTCTTGCAAACTAAACATTCATTTTCTCTATCAAGATGCTAACTAAACACTTATAAGCATGAGATATATTCATATTGTTAGCATATCCTTTTTTGTTGAAAAATAGAAATGCTACACACGAAATTCCTGAATTAATCCGTTCGAGAATTCGAGTACATATCAAACAAAACTATTCATCTATCACAAAAAGTTTAAAACATAAATTCATTACCTAATACTCAAAACGCAGAAGAGTAGAGTACCTAAACACTACAACATGATATATTAAATTAAACTGAAATATTAATGCGTAAGTTTCTTCTACAACTTTGTAAAGTAAAGAAAATTCACCTTTCGAATGTTCCTATTGCAATTTCGTAGCTTGAATTTGAAGTACTAGAGGCTGACAGAGTGGATCGTAGCAGAAACTGAGTGAAAAGTGTAAAAAGAGGGAGAAAGAAGCAGCATCGTGGCAGAAGAAAACTGAGTAAAAAAAGAGGAGTGAAAATTAAAGTGAGAAATTATTACCAAAAAAAAAAAAAAAAAATTAAGTGAGAAATTGCAAAAGAAGGGTAGAAAGAGAGACGCTAATACTTGTGAGGATAGCTGCCCAACTTGATTTCAAATAGGTCACAACCTTGTAAAACATCTCAAATAACAATCTAAAGATTTAGTAGTTATCCGTATTTGATTAACACTTTTTTGAAGTCTTGACTAAATAAATTTTTAAAGGAACTTTTAAAATATTAAGAGCTCGTTTGGAAGTACTTCAAAATTGCTGAAAACACTTTTGGTAAAAATTCTTTTGAAACCAATTTTTAGTAAAAAAAAAAAAAAAGAATAAGTAAACCCTTGAACACACTTCAAGTACTTTTTGAACTAAAGAAAACATTTTCTCTAAAAAATACTTTCAAACATGATTAATACATCCCATGACATATGTTCAGTGCAAACTGAACCGAAGCTGTCAACCAAAACTTAACGGATAGGAAATTTTAACTAGCCTAGGGCTTTTGGGTGGATATATATACCAATTAGCATTGGGGAAAAGGAAGCGAGAGCTGCAATGATCTGGTTGTACAAGGTTGTAACTTTTAATTGTATCCTAATTTGTATCCTAGTTTTAATTGTATACTTACACTAAAAATGGGGGATGAACAATTTTGGAAACAAACATCCGGAAGTACCACATAGAATTCCTCAAGCCTATTCTTCGTCTCTCCAATTCTCTCTCTGCCGTCCCTCTCTTTCACTCACATAAATAGGTCACAATAGTTTTGAGGATATGTTGTCAATTTTGTTATGTTTGTATTTTATTTCCTATTAGGAATCCTTTCAAGCCTAGGGTTGAGGTAAGGTATAAAACCTACTTTGCTATCAGTTAGGGTTATTATCCTTATGATTGTCATATGTTGATGAGGACCCAGCAGAGCCACAGCTCCTGCAACAACATGAACACAGAGTTGATGGACCTGCCCATTGAAATCCTTATCAACATCCTTCTGAGGCTGCCTATAAATTGGTTTCATCGCATCCTATGTGTATCCAAGGCCTTCTTAAACACGGTTGACGACCTCTCTTTTGTTACACTGCACACGCATCGTTTACTTAGTAGTAGTACTGATTGTACCAGTAATGTTCCTCATGAAACACCTCAATTTGTTCTTCTCATCGAATCCTCAGAAGGAAAAGGAAATATTACGCACCCATTAACTTACCTTGGAGACAACAACACCATGAGAGAGATCAAAGATGCAAATACTTCCGAGGTTTGGTCCAGACTGCCGTATTTCACGTCTCTTATTTTTTGCAACTTGTTTTTCTTTCGAGGGAAGATCAGTTCTAAAGCTTACCGACCTTTCTTATTGGATCCTCTTAAGGGGAAGTTCTAATGCTTCCTGCAGCCAATAATACATGTTAGGACCATATGACTTGGGCCTTTAGCTAGCTCTCTTCCAACCCAGTTCACTTAAAGCCCAGCCTGTTGTTGCTAGGGTTTCCTTGCAGATTGTATATAAATAGATCATTGTAATCTGAAAGGGATATGAATGAATGAAATCTGCCTATTTTCCCTTCAAATTCTCCTGTTCTTCCCTTTTCTTTATGCACTGTTGCTCTGATTTCTAGCTTTCTATGTCTGAGACCGATTGGGCCTACCAATTGGTATCAGAGCCCTTCGATGGGCAAAAACACTCTTTCTCCTAGCTCTGATCCCGATGTTGTTGCAGCGGCATTGGACGTGCGCAACGACCACCTTCGTACCCAGGTTGACGATATCTACGATACTGTTTTGGCTCTTGAAAACCAGCAAACCACTTTCCAACAATCTCTTGACCAACTGCAACGTTCCAATGAAACCTTTCAAACCACCATCACCTCCCAGTTCACGTCGTTCCAATCACTACTGTTGGAGGAACTACGCCTTCTGAAATCCACCTTTCCCCCACCTCAGACCACCACAACGCCATCGCCAACCCACCCACCCATTCCCATACCTCCCGCTGCTACACCCTCCCCTCCTCGTTCCTCTACACCCACCACTCACCCATCTTTCCGATCCCCCTTTCCTCCACCGGCTACATCCTATACGGGTTTGGGCCTCGCCCAACAACCCACTTTGGCCCCTTTGCCCTCGTCCATTCCTTTAACCCAACCCACACCGTCCCCTAATACCATTACACCCAGGCCCATTTCCTCTCACCCATACCAGGCTTCTTCTTCCAATTTCTCTCTACACCCGTCCACCCCGATTTCACCCTTCTCCCACGCCTTCCACTTCGCACCCAGCCCTCCTTCTACGACCCCCACCCTCTCTTTCCTATTATATATCCACCCAACTCCTTACACCCACTGCCTACCTCAGTTTCATTACCTTCCCACACTCACCCACACTTCACACCCACCCTTCATCCCAAACCCCCTCATTTTAAACCTATCAAAATCGATTTACCACGTTTTACTGGGGATGACCCTTATGGTTGGCTAGCCATGGTTGAAAGATACCTGGACTATTATGAGGTTCCTCCAAATCAGTGGGTTTTGGTGGCAGCCTGTAACTTTGGTGCCGATGCATCGATTTGGATGCGTGGATTCGAACAATGGTACGGTCGAGACAACTGGAGTCTCTTTGTTGACCTCTTGCTTCAAAGATTTGGGGGTGGTGACCGTGCTAACATTGAATCTCAGCTCACTCACATTCAACAAAAAGGCACCATCGATGAATATATTGCAGACTTTACCAAACTGTCTTGTCTGGTAATTGACTGGTCTGAAAACCAGTTGAAACATGTGTTCCTTGGGGATTACGAGACGACATCCGTCACGATGTCTTGGCTCTCGAACCCGACTCTCTCCACCAAGCCCAGAAGCTCGCCAAAATATTTGAAACAAAAAACCAAGCCAAACGGTATACCCGACTCTCTTGTCATTTCCAATCTTCCTCCTTCACGAGACCACCCATCTCCCCCACCACACCTCTCCCCACCGGTCCTCCCCACACCCCATATCACCCACCACAACCCTTCAAACGTTTAACCCCAACGGAAGTCCAAGATAAAATTCGAAAAAAAAAATGTTTTCATTGTTCCGAGCCTTATACCCCTGGCCACAAATGCAAACATCCAATGATGGTATTATTGGACATTGACACCCTTGAGGATGATTCCCAGGAATTTCAGGATTGTAATCCCGAGGAGGACAACCTCATTGATAACTCTTGTCACATGCTCGATCTGTTTTCGATTCCGAACCTTGGATTTGGTCAACCTATGCGATTACGTGGCTCTATTGAATCCACACCCGTCAAGGTCCTTATTGACTCGGGCTCTGCTTGTAACCTTTTGAGCGTCGATATTGCCCAACAGTTAGGGCTGCAAATTGAGCATATTTCTCCAATACCATTCACCACAGCTTCTCACAAACAGGTCACCACCACTATGCGAGTTCATCATGTGGCTGTCAAATTGCAGGATTATACTTTAGTGGGGTCCTTTCTCTTACTCACCATACTTGGTTGTGATTTGGTGTTGGGCGCCGAGTGGCTCGAATCCCTAGGCTGGATAGGTTGGCATTTCCAGCACAAGACAATGATTTTCACAACACATGCTCACACCTACACCCTCCAAGGTCTCCAGACGGCCCACCCACCTTTACATATGTGCCACTCCATTCAATTCCCTTATTTCACTACTCCCCTACCCCACCGACCCACCTTACCCACCGCCACACTGCTTACCCCACCCTCTAATACCCATCCCACCCTTCTTTCCGTGTTATCTCAATACCAATATCTCTTTTTTCTCCCTAGTGATCTACCACCACCCAGACATGTTAACCACAAGATCCCGTTGCTCCCAGATACACCACCCATCAATGTTCGGCCTTATTGATACCCTTATTCACAGAAGGTAGAAATTGAGAGACAAGTGCAGGACCTACTCTCATCCAGGGTCATTCGAAACAACAACAGTCCATTCTCCTCCCTTGTTCTATTGGTAAAAAAGAAAGATGACTCATGGCGACTTTGCATCGATTATCGAGCTCTCAACGCTGCTACAATCAAGGATCGT